ATCGGTTGTACTTGGGCAAGAAATTCATGATAGAATTGCATGTAATGGTGCTAAGAACAACTACTCGCATACCGGCAACTCTGCGCTCCTGCAGGCTATGGGTACGATAGTTAGACTAGGCGTGATAGCATGAGCACAATACGGCCGCTAGAAGAAGATCAATACGTGCCCGATACAGGTCGCAGGTGTGGGCAAAAAAAAGTCATTCTCGGCCGACCACACTCCGATCAACGAAGTTTTCGCAGCCCAGACAGGGAAGTGGATATGAGTACCAGAGTGGAAGATACCCAAGATCTTCCTCTATAAGCTGGAGCACGCTGTCGCCGCCAATCGCCTCCATGTACGCCAAAATATGAAGTCATCTCCAGTGTCGCGGCACATCGACTGGGAGAACCTCTTTCTAATTCACTGTCGCCTTCCAACACAGCCCTGCGACACACTTCTGAATGAAGTCATCCACAGAATAAGCTACCTGAGTAGGCGACAAATCTCCAGACCCTGGCAAAGCAGCCTCCCACACTGCGACCCAAGCTACGGGGTCAACCGTTCGCTACGGCTCTAGGACAATCATCTGTCAACCGTAAACTTCGCCGAGGGCGAGTGGTGGAGTTGGTGAGGGTGGGGGACCGGTTGCGTGGGGTCCGTCTCCGTAGGCGGGCTACCTGGAAAGGGAAGACCGATATTTTCTTTGTAGACCCCGACTGAAGGTGAGCGCTGGCGGTTACATCAAGTAACTCGAGAAGAATATCCTCCCTACACTGTCGTCGCCCCGCTAGCCTTCTGTGGGACGGACCTCTGTGCTGCTACAGGTTTGGCGACTGCCACCACCCAATGGAATCCCAAAGGGTTTGGAACAAACTCCCGCCTTAGCTTGAATCGGGATTGAGGGGGCTGGTTAACCCTAAAAGAATGGTTAGAACACTCCAAGTCAGGTCACCGCTACCTGTATCCCTCAATTACCCGGTTCGGGCGGAGTTCAATAGGGTGGTCTACAGTGGCGGAGAAATCAACGATCTCGCTCAACTCCGGTACCCACTCACTTTCGCGCGGCCGAATCTCTCGATGGCGCTCCTCCAGAAGGCTGCGGCGGAGTATCATTATAGTATTTAATGTGCTCTTTAATATGGTAGTAAAAATGTCCGATAAAAATTTAATAAAGTGTAACTTATAGCGCCTTGAAAGTCATGGAGGCAAAATGACTTTTTTTTGGGCCCCCCTCCGTAGCTGCAACGGAGCTTGTCTTTGAAGCCATTTAAGTTTAGATAAACAACACCTTGCGGAAAAATCTCGCTTCCAAAATCGTAGCTCCTTGAACAGTCGCCGCCTGACAGGACCTGAACCTGCATTGGATTTCAGCTTCGTTGCTGCACGCCCAAATCTGCTGGCTAACTGTAGCTTCTCATTTCGCCAGGGTTAGTTCCAATTAGGAATGGTCACCTGGTCAAAATGGCCATTTGGTGATGGGACTACATCGTAGAACGCTTTTTTAGCACGGATCGAATACGCTTTCTCGATCTGTCAAACGATTCCCTATACAAAGACGAAACTTTTCCCTCTGCAAATATGGAAGTTCTTCCCTTCGTGATGTCTCACACGCTACCACATGGAGGCGAACCATTTTGAAGAAAGAGGGAATGCTGAATTCTGCGGACAAAGGGTAGCGCTAGTGGTGGTACTTCATACGCAAGATTTACGGGCTCGCACCCTCTATGAGTTTCCCGTTTTCCTTTTTTTATGAAGATGACCAGGAAGCTTACGACGTCGATGCTTGATAACATTTCTATAACAGGAGCTTGTGAGCATTTACTGAGATAATCCCTGAGATCGGGTAGGCGTGGCCTGCATGTTTCAACTGAACCTGAAGGTGTCTGTGCTTCTGGTGAGATATTTTCATCTTGACACAATTGTTGTCGTGTCTCTGTCCAACACAGAACAAGATGACAGTTGTCCCAGACTGGAATATTCCACGAGTAACCAGTTCCGTGCCATGTTCAAATGCCACGCCTACTCCGTCTCAGGGATAAGGAGTGTACTACTAATCTGTGCTGAGGCACCTTGTGATCTATTAGATTGGCCAATGTGTGAGATATGTTTTCCTTTTACAACGTTTAGTGTGGAAGGTGAGAAGTTATCCAAATGCGTTCTGCGCTTTTTGATAGATAGTCTTCTGTTTCACAGGGAAATTTGACTGGTTTTTTATTACTTCTTGGCTAATGCCAAGTTTTAGTTCATCGAAATAGGGCGTCGGTAGGCACAAAGAAGTGTTGCTGTAACCGATGATGAGAAATCGGACCTAGTGAATTTGAATCGCATGAAACACCCTCTCAGGGAGTAAAATATGTAGAGCCCGTGCTGCACGTTTTCCTCTGTCGGAGAGTGAAAGTGATGCTCAGTGATGATGCGAGAGCATTCCACGACCTCTACCACTTCTCCATTTTTGGCAGGGACCTGTGTTGATGAGCTGCTTCAGTCAGCTCCTTGTCACGTCAGGTGCGATGCTTGTCTGTGAGGTCGAAATGAAATGATCGGTTTAACCATTTTGTACGTTCCTAAGGAACATGCTTTGTGGGCACGTATTTAATGAAGGGACCTCAGCGGTTTCGGCTTTCAATCAAAGGAGAGTGTGTCGAAATTTATGCAATTCTTCTTAGGCGCCTAACAACATTCACTTAACATTCAAACTAGTATGGTTTCGTAATCAGGGTGTCGATCTACCTTCGGGCCTGACGTATTTCGACCTAACCGAAATGGTGCAGCAGCCATGTTGGGCAGTTCACTGCATGTTGCCCGTGTTCCCACCTTCCCTTGCAAATCGCACGTAGAATCGTAATCTGGTGCGTAAGAGGGACCATGTACGTTGAGAATTTTTCTCTAGCTTGATGCCTCCGCTCACGAGCCGCTGACGCACAACGATGAGAAACTCCCATTGGGGAAGGTGGTGGAGGGGTCCTTAACTTGCCTCGCTCCACTGGTTGATCGACGCAGGCCAACAGTCTTAATCACTACTATTTTCACTACTAGTTGAATCCAAGTAATCGTCTGTACGGCTTCCAAATCGGGCAAATTCCAGTATGGAGAAGAGGTGATCCGGAAGTCGCATCAAAAGAAATTTGGGGTATGCTATTCTGCAAAAAAGTTCTCCAACGACAAGAGGTGCCTTGGGTAGTATATTGATGCTCAAAAGAGGTCATGATCTCACCAGGGCACATCATCGCTGGGGATTCTCTAACAGGGGGCCGCATCTGGTGCGGGGGAGGCCAGGGTCGTATTTAGTCTGAGCTTTTTTTGATAGTTTTTCGTTTCACGGATGCTATGAGGAGGAACCGTATTTGCCTTCTGAGAGAAGTCTGCAGCGTTAGGAAGTGAATTTCCCGGTCGTTGATTTGTCGCAGTTTCTCCTGTTTCACATGTGCTATATACCCACCCCCCCCCCTGGATCACCCACGATAATACAAATTTATTCGAATAATCAAACTATATGCATATTCCCAATTCGAGTGAAGATCGTTACATAGGAATGAAATCGTATATGTTTCACGATCAGCAGTATTACCACAGTTGTTACAAAGTAAAGTTATCACATCATGAACTGATAAGGCCCCAACGGTCTCTGATAAGAAATCTGACGCACCACAGTAGAAGAACTGGATTTACAGATACTTAGCAGGTTATGTAGTGTTTGCTAACGCTGCACGTGCGCTATTTTTCGCTCCCTTGCGCAAAAAAATGTCGCGCGGCAGTCAGCCGCTTCAGAATTGGTCACCCTTGGATCGTGCATGCGGAGCGGCAAAATTGCGCGACGCGTTGCGTTAGCAAACGCTATGCACTCCCTAACGAGTAACAAGAGTGCGAATGAAAGCTTAACAATGAAAATAGCAAAGAATCTGTCATAAGGCAACTGTAATTTTGTTCATAACACAAAACACAACCCAGATGTCATGCAGAATATGAGGGTAGATTTTCAAATAATCTGTAGTGAATAGGGAAGACAATACATCAAAGATAAGCCACCTTTGAAAAGGCATCTCTTACATAACATTCAATAGGAAGTGACAATACACTTTACAGGAATTCTCTGAAAGTAAGTAAACTGATGTCGTTTCCAAACAAACCTGCTGAACCAAACAAGTAACTGGGAAAAGTGAAGGGGAATCCCAGTGATTTTTTCAGGTGCGTTCATACTCGAGCATTCACTTGCGCGGTTTTGGAATCGCACTGCCGCACTGCAAGTCCTCATCCCATTCAGGAACCACCGCTAGCGGCCTCATCGCCCTCCAGCTTAGTTATACCTTTGGGCCGTGTTCTAGCGCCGCACCCATCCACCAGCGAACACTAGCGTTAGACCGTCCGTCAGCGTCAGCGATTAAGGAAATATAGAGATCGATCCAGTGAACGCCAGCGTCTGCTAGCGTCTACCAGCGTCCACGAGCGACCATCAGCGTCTCTAGGGACTAGAAAAGTATGGATATCGATCTAGCAAACACCAGCATCCACCAGCGACCAGGATTACGGTATTGTGTTTACTGACGCTGATGGACGCTCGAAACGCTGGTGGACGCTGGAGGACGCTGCAGCAAAGCATGAATGCAGCCTCACAACCGCCATTCAAAGTCGCATCAGACGACACGTATCGCGTGTGGAACGGCCATTTCAACCTCCTGCCTTTGTAAGCTTAAGTTTTGGTCCATAGAAATGACACAGAAGCGCTGGTGAAGGCATTCTCCCCACCTCTCTCACCCACCAATCACGTTAGAGCCAATACTGGTCGAAATACTTGATTGATAGGGTTTGTCCTAGTGGTAGGTGTAGCGGTCCACCAATTAGCGGTGGAGCGCACCTAATGCCTCTCCGGCTCTAAAGCTAGACATTCCCTTCTTGTGTCCAAGCATGTTCGTATGGGAACGACAAACGGTGAAATGATTATGAAGGTTCAAGTATCGAATTAATATTATTTGCTCTGAAATATTTGATATTTCTCATAGTTTGACCTATATGGAGTATTAATGAGTGTCCAAGTATTGTTGGAGGGCTTTCTTCTGATGGAAATATTGAGCTAGCCGGTCGCGTCCGTATGAAGCATAGTCGAATGGGATAACCGAATCCTGTAAATATAGTTCGTATGACGGAATCCTTGATCCTTTCCAAAAAAAACGTTACCTCAGCGTTGAACAAGGCCCAGCACGTCCAGTATATGTTAGCTACGGCCATGAACAGTGACGATTCGGTAATGAGACGATCAAGATCGACAGCTCTGTCACCGGTCACAAGATCAGCAGGAAAGTGCGGGTTGTGACCAGAGTCGCGCATCTAAATTGTTTACTCATGAAAGTTCGGATCTCTCTCACACAGCGACAATATATGTATACTCCTTATACGTGAGGGGGAGATGGGGAGGGCGCAGCTGCGTACATCTTCTGAAGATGGAGTAACATAGTTTGTCGGGGGTGATTTTTATTGGAGACAGCTGCCATGATGTCTTGGGCTAGATAAAGACATCATCACTATATTTGTCCCAAAACGATAAGGATCTCACTAAAGCGCCACTGCCTCCACATTCACGTGGACTATGTAGTTACGGTTACCCATCTCCAGGTTATGATGTGTACAGTCCTCATCATTGCGGACCGGTGGGGCGTGTCAGCCAGTATGAGTGTGCACACTGTTGAAGCCGTTCTCAGCCTTTTTTTGAAACGCGTATGCGAAAAGTGGTAGAAACGAGTAATACGGAGGATATAATACAGTAATGTCACTTGCCCGCTTCAACAACTGGTGCAGAACGACTTTGGCCCCGCGCCAAACGCAGCCGCACTGAACCGCCCCGACAGTACGTAATGATGAGGACTGTAGCTTCGTCATCTTGGTCGTTGGGTAAGGACTTCTAATAGAAGCCAATGAAAAGAAGTAAAAATGACCGCACCACCACGGACACTTTCAAAAGCTATGTGTGGGGAGATACTCGAAAATTTTCCGGGCGGTGGAATATTATGTATTTATAATCAAGTTATACATATAAGTACTGAATATTACATAAATCCAAGTCCTTTATGTGACGGTTTACTAAAGCGACAAGTGGTTGCGAAATACATACAGCTGATCCGTCTCAGGGCACTTGTCAACCGGGAAGCCTCTCCTCTCTTTCATTTTTTCTTCCTCCTTGCCTCTTCCTTTCCTTCCTTCCTTTCCTTCTCTGATCCCTCCTCCTTTACCTTCTCCCTCCAACTACTGGACTGGTAGATGCCTCGTGAAAATACCCCTGGACCCTCGCAGCGAGAGCACGTCTGGTTGACAACAGCCCTAACCCAATTGATCAGAATTGGCTTATTCCAGCAATGAATACGCTTTGACGTCAGCGGCACGTCCATAGACTACTCAATTATTTCGCCAATTCATCAGGTTTCCACTGGGGAATTTCTTATGGAAAACTTATGGAAAATGGACTGGAGTAATGTAATGACATGGCTTATTGATTTGACACATTTGAGACATTTTCTGACGGCTTAAGGGAAATAAGAAGGTAAAGAGAAGAAAGGCATTGGCGTTGACCACAGAACATGGATGTGACAGAGGTCATTGAAACGCTCCAGCGTTTGCAATCAGCGTACATGATCGTATGTAGTGTGAATTCCATCAAAGGGGGTCGTATTCGGCCGCTGGGAGGAAGTCGTATATTTGTAGCTGGCTTGGAACTAGAGGAGCGGCTGTGTATTATCTCACTTACAGCGGTTTTGTTGAGGGCTCCCGTACGAAAAACGGTGTTTTCAGGCGATTAGTTCAAAAACTTGAAAATTTCATAATCTATGGCATGAGAGATCTCATTGTTGATAAGTACACACACTCAAATGAAGCTTGCAGAACAAATCTGAGAATTTTACATGGAAATGAAGTATAGAGAGATTGAATGTCAAACGAAATGCTGAGGATAAAGGAGATGATGAGGAAAATCATAAAATGGCAGATGCTCTCCTATTTGATTCAGTCAGGAGACAAGTAAAAGGATACGCCTGACTTGCAAAACACCAAATATTCAAAGATGAAAACTACTTTGACTATCCTAAATTACTTTGATTATTTAGTGGATTCAAACAATAAGTCTGCTACCCGATCCCGCCTCAGGAAATCTTCGTTATCTTTTTTTTTATAAGGCGCGAACAGCGATGCATAGAAAGGACAATAAAAGATAGCACCATCGTTCCTCGAGTGGGGGGGGGCATTTTGCTAATTCGCTAGTTTCTTCAGGTTTCCCCACGTTGGTGAAACTTGTAAACTCATGTGAAATCCCGAAATTGATCACGCTTTGCTGAGCCGCTATGGTGTGAGACATGTAACTTATTGTGAGCCTACAGAGAAAGGCTATTTCTAGAGTTTAGTCCTCGTCTGAGGGTAAATGCGAAATGGGAACTACATGCATGTATTTTCCGTGTCCATTCCGCTTCAAAAAATTTCATTGATTATCTCATTCACCTGTTAATTGATTATAAAAACATTGAAATATCCAATAAATGATGACAATTCGCATTAGAAAATGGTAGGAGTATCATTATTTTCGGGTACGGTGGTATGAGCTTTACAAGAATTTTCAAGTTCCAACTTGGACTGTGCAAATTGCTGGAAACCATTTCACAGCTTCACAATAATTTACATGAGTTTACATGTCGATGCCCCTTCCTCCCCCGAGCCGAAATACTTTTAGACTCGCAAAATTGCCAGCTTTCAAGCTGTTTCACAAATTTTCTTGGAACAGTTTATATTTAACCGCTGATTAGCACTCACCTTATAGACTTCGTCAAGATAGGCTTCACAGAAACTTCTTCTCTCATGAACAACATCGAACATATCATCGTAGACCTTGTAGTATGGTGGTTCATCACAGTTGTAATCGTAGGCATATTCGCAGAAATGGTTACCGAGATCGAACCCCCTGCAATATAAAGCAGGCTAAGAGCACGTTGCACGTGACC